AAGGGCACAGTAGCCAGGCAATAATATACCTGAGCTCACGAGTTCGGGGTCTGGGAGTCTCCTGGGACCAGGCACACCAAGACCTGTTACTGTTACCTGTCCAGCCTGGCCGAAGCCTTCACAAGGTGTACAGCTCAAGCCGCAGTGACCCTTGCGCTGGGCTATGGGGGCTGAGACGGCCCCCAGCTCCTGGAGCTCTTTTTGCAGGGGGGGCGACACCCTCCAAGTGAGCTCACAGATGCCACCTGCAAGAGCTGCATGGGAGACGGACAGGAAGGCTCCGTGAAGGCCGCCAGCAGAGGGAAGGGGATGGGACTAGGTTAAGTCAGGCAAGTCCTTCCAGAAGAGGCACCTGATGTGGCGCTGCCGGATCAGCACTCGGGCATGGTGGATGGACTTGGCCAGCCCCAGCTTGAAGACCTGGGTCTGCAGGCGCCTCTCCAGAAAGTCTTCGATCTTCAGGCCCAGGATGTAATCCAGCTTCATCTTGCCCTCATCCAGCACCCCAATGCGGACCAGCCGCCGCAGCAGCGCGTTGCCTGGAGGGGGTGAGAGAAAGCGACGGACTCAGAGTCCCACCCAACCTGCGGCTGGTTATGTCTGCAGCCGTGAAACCACCAAGGGCTTCACTTTGAGGACGGATGCACCCAACTCAAGCCGCGGTTATTTCCAATGGCCTCAGATACATGTAAAGGCTGGATACTGAATGAAGAAAGAGGAAGAATGGATACATTTGAATTCTGGTGCTGACAAAGAATACTGAAAGTACCACTGACTGCCAAGAGGATACACAAATCTGCTTAGAAGGATTATGACCATAGTGCTCCTTAGAGGCATGGATGGGAGACTCTTCCCTGGAGGTCTCCGTGACCTTGGTAAAGTAGAGGGGCAGCAAAAGGGCTCAAAGCACAGCAACAACTGAGGACAGCGCCACCGCCCCACAGAAGCCCAAGACCCCACAGGCAGCGCCGTCCCAGGGAAGGCCTGAGTGCACTGTCCTTCCTGCGAACATGCTGGCTCCCACAGAACCCAACCCACAGGGCTGAGAACAGACCAAAGAGCAGCCAGGTAAAAACCATCAATCCCCAGCAGGTAAGGCAGATTGAGTTGATTCCACCTTCTTCTAATTCCATGGCTTCCTGGACTACCAAGTCTTAATGACTGAGGAGCTACCACCCCACCCCTTGCCACCCCTCTCCCTTCCTGGGAAGACCAGAGACCTCTCAAACACCTGGCCCTTGCCCTGCCCTTTGCCCAGATTCCCATGCTTTGTGGGAGGACTACCATCTAACTTGGCATTTCCCAAAATGGGCATACTGTCCCCCTGGGGGATACTCAGGATGATCCAGGGGGCTACAAAAGCAGACACCTACCCTTAACCCTTACATTTGAATGGTGGTGCTGGGTGATATTTAAAGTACTATGGACTGCTAAAAGGACCACTGATGTCTCTGTAAAAAGTACAGTGTTTCTTACAGGCGAGGTACACTTTGGACATATTCTAAGGAGTGACCAGTCTCTGTAGGACATCATGCTTGGTAAAGAGACCATCAATAGGGCCCTCATCAAGCTGGATTAACACGATGGCTGCAACAATGGGCTAAAGCTAAAGAACAATTGTGTTAGGATAAAATCTGAGGTGGCCAACTATGCCCAGAATTCACACCTGATGAAATAAAAATGTGCAAGTCTTTGCACAGGATTACAATGGATACTCACAAATGTGGATGGCTAAAGTACATTTTAGATATCAGACATTCGTAATTCAAACTCCTGTAATTAAAAATCCTAACAGCCTTACATCCCAAGTAGTAGCTCATAGGATAGTTTCCTGTATCTGATGCCAGTCTACTCCCTACTCATTAGAGCTCCCAGGCTCTGGAGCTGGGCTCCATAAACTAGTACAGATCCTCATCAACAAGTGGAATGATCATCAGCAGGTCACCCTTTACAGGGAAATTGTGCATTTATCCAAGAGGTACCAACATCCTGATTTCTACAGGAGGAAGTGATTTTGCAATTCCTTTCCAAAACACCTATTTTTTAAAAATCATTTTATCAGGGGTTCATACAACTCTTATCACAATCCATACATACATCAATTGTGTAAAGCACATTTGTACATTCATTGCCCTCATTCTCAAAACA